GGGCAATTTTATAGAGAAATCAGTATTGGTATCATTGATACTGGCCTTCAGTCATAAAAAAAGATACTGTCTTTATGTTGTTTGCACATTAATTTGAAGATTGAATGTGAAATTATTGCAATATAAAAGTATATTTAAAAACTTTAATGTTAGGTAGGATTAATCGCGATTAATTTCAGAAAAATGTGCAATTAATTAGTTAATTTTTTTAAATCGATTGACAGCACTAATTTATAATATAAATTATATGAATATAAATATATACATGTAAATGTAAATATTTTCAAAATATGTACTGTATGCGTGTGTATTTATATATACATAATAAATATACACAGTACACACACACACACACACACACATATATTATGTAAACAAAAACGTTTGTTTTGGATGCGATTAATCGTGATTAATCGTTTGACAGAACTATAAATTACATTTATAATTATGAATAAAATAACATATACACTACTGATACAAGTGTCAGTTAATTGTTTTTTTTCCCCTAAAGAAATTATTACTTTTATTCAGCAATGATGCATTAAATTGATCAAAAGTGACAGTAAAGACACTTACATTGTTTCTTTGATGAATAGAAAGTTCAGTAGAGCGACATTTATTTGAAACCACATTAATAGAATGCCACCGTTTTCACAAAAATATTAAGCAGCACAACTGTTTTTAATATTAATACAAATAAGAAATGTTACTTGAGCACCAAATCAGCATATTAGAATGATTTCTGAAGGATCATGCGACACTAAAGTTTGGAGTATTGGCCGCTGAAAATTTAATTTTGGCATCACAGGAATAAATTACATTTTAAAAATATATATAAAAAAGAAGGAATAAAATAATATTTCACAACATTACTGTTTTTGAAATAAAGCAGCCTTAAGTGCATCATAAACTTATTTATTACTTTGAGTTATTGATATATGGGGATCATAGTGGGTAGTGTGGAATTGTTATTTCATACCACAGTCTGATTTTTGTCCATGTTTTTGTTCTCGCTCTCTGTGTCTACGTCATTATTTTTCCATGTTTTTATGTGCAAGCATGTGTTGTTGCATATGGGTAAGCATATGTTCTGGCACAGGTGAATGTGCTGCAGATGCGGCTCAGTGAAGTTCAGCCTCAGGTTCTGGATTGTTTGGAATCGTTGGTCGACCCAAAGCTCCTCTCTGCTGACCGCAGCAAACTCCATATGCTCCTGCTTAATAGCAAGAAGTGAGTTCATTAACTTCATTAAAAAACTGACTTTCCCCAGCCATATTGTTGTTTTTAGAACATTATGTTCCCAAATGCAAGAGTCATTTAACTACACCATTAAGAACCTAACTTTCTCATTAGCTAATCTTAGTGAAGGATCATTGTAACATAATTGGTAGGGTAATTGCTGTATGAAGCTTATCCAGAGTTATTAAACGATTTTGTTGTGTTTTTCTTGTGTTAATTAAGGATGAGTCAGGATGGTTGACTCGGCCGTCTAACATCTGATTTGTTTTTTTAGTAATGTCCCCTAGTGTGTTTATCTATTTTTTTTTTCTTGTGTTTGTAGTTGTAATATTTTTTAATGGTGGTGCTTTGAAGAAGAAGAATTGCAGTTGCCAGAAATTGCAGTTAACAATAAATTTCAAGTACTGTATAATTAAAAATTGCCTACTGTGAGCAATGTTCCCATTATAGTGCATAAGCCACGAGTCTGTCTTTGCTGTGAAGTCTGTCTGTGATAGTTATGTGTTATTAAAACCTAATTATAGAGCATGTCTTAGTCGACTAGTCAGTTTTGAAAATATGTAGTTTTGTCCATCACTAGTGTTAATAAAATGTGCCTGATATTGGCCAATCCATTGATATTACTGTACTGGGGCTACACATTGTTGGAAAAAATGGCAATGTTTATTTTTTTTTCTGTGATGTACAGTACAGTATTGCAATATGAATAAATACATTTTACATTCTAAGTAGGATTAATTATATTAGACCGATTTGAGTTTTTTGTAGGGGAATACATCTGAAATGAATATATATACACACACCAGCTGAAACCCCTTTAAGTAACCATGAAATGTACAAACTTTTTCCATTTGAGTCAAAGGCCACATTCCAAATATTTTTGACCCATTCAATATGAATATATAATTACAAATATTTTCATTATTTTTTTATTTTTATTATTACATAATAATATTAAACAAAATAAGAAATTACTATTGTATTAATAATATTGTAATGTAAAAAAAAAACAACAACATTTATATTCAAATGGTATACCATCCAGTGGGCTTATAATTGCTTTTCACCACAAAATTTCAAAAGTCATTTAGTTCATTTTTATTTGTTGTGCGATACCAATAAATAGAGGTAATCACTCAATTATTATTTTTTTAAAATATATTGTGCATCTCTTTATCTGACAGATCTAGAAAAGTCTGTCTGGTAAAATATGATTCTGCTAGAAAATGCAGAGCTTTGATCTATAATTTTCTTTGAGAGTAAAAACATTCTCTCTCCCTGCAGCCTCTCAGAGCTGGAGACAGACATTAAAGTGTTTAAAGACAGTCTGCTGAAGATCCTGGATGAGGATGAACTGATAGATGAACTCTGTCTCACCAAATGGAGTGACCCACAAGTGTTGTAGGTGTCACATCACAGAATCCAACTTCACAGCCATTAAGTTTTAAAATGCAGCACATTTATATACAGTGGGTACGGAAAGTATTCAGACCCCCTTAAATTTTTCACTCTTTGTTATATTGCAGCCATTTGCTAAAATCATTTAAGTTAATTTTTTTTCCTCATTAATGTCTCCAGAGTGCTCAGGACCTCAGACTGGAACTAAGGTTTACCTTCCAACAAGACAATGACCCTAAGCACACAGCTAAAATAACGAAGGAGTGGCTTCTCAACAACTCTGTGACTGTTCTTGAATGGCCCAGCCAGAGCCCTGACTTAAACCCAATTGAGCATCTCTGGAGAGACCTAAAAATGGCTTTCCACCAACGTTTACCATCCAACCTGACAGAACTGGAGTGGATCTGCAAGAGGGAATGGCAGAGGATCCCCAAATCCATGTGTGAAAAACTTGTTGCATCTTTCCCAATAAGACTCATGGCTGTATTAGATCAAATGGGTGCTTCTACTAAATACTGAGCATTTTTCAGTTTTTCTTTTTTAATAAATTTGCAAAAATGTCAACAATTCTGTGTTTTTCTGTCAATATGGGGTGCTGTGTGTACATTAATGAGGAAAAAAAATTAACTTAAATGATTTTAGCAAATGGCTGCAATATAACAAAGAGTGAAAAATTTAAGGGGGTCTGAATACTTTCCGTACCCACTGTATATATGCACAAATGTTCTTGATGTCAGTGTAAATATCAGATCATTGTTGTGTGGATCTGTGATCTCTGTTGGTGTGTCTGTCTTTGTATGTGGGTATGTCTGTGTTTATGTTCACATGGGGCCAGTGAGGAGAGCAGTCTGGGTATAGATCACGCTGAAGAGATGGAGCTACTGCTGGAGAATTACTTCATGCAAGCAGAGGAGCTGGGAAACAAAGCCCGAGAGCTGAAAGACCTCATCGATGATTCTGAAAGCGTCATCTTCATTAACCTGGATAGGTACTGTACTGGCGGCAGACATAATGCAACTGGATCATGATTGAAATTATGCTGATTTTTTTTTTTTTTTTAACTGAAAGAACAGATTTATATGCAGATCAAACGCCTCAAGGGAATAGTTCACCTAGAAATGAAAAGTCTTTTGTTTTTCATAAAAAAGTAAAAAGTTTAATTAAGAATCAAGTCAATTAAGAAGTTAAAAACATGGTGAAAATTATTTTTTATTTTTTTGCTGGTGACAGCAATTTCCCATTTAAAGTGATTAAAAGAGATATCCTAAATCTTGTCTGTGAAAACCATTAACATTAAAGGTGCACTAAGCGATTTTTGCCAAACAATGTTGATATTTGAATTAAAGCTCCAAAACAAACACGCCCATACCCCAACATGACCTCGCCCCTATTTTGATATCTACGCCCCACACGTACGTACATAACCCTGGCATAACGACGATCGCGGAAACAAGCGAAGATGACACACAAGCATATTCAATCAAAAACCAACACAGATAAGTTGTGTGAAACAATGCAAAATCAACGTTACTTACCTATCAAAAAGAAACAACGCAACCTCGGCGTCCGATTCAAGCCCTTCCCGCTCCTTGAGTTCTCTCCACTGCTGGAAAGCTGCTCCAATATTTACGTGGGTCCTACCTCTTGCCTGATCGTAACCCTTCTTTTTAAAGTTTTGTTCCGCCATCTAAATGATAGGGAATCTACCTATACATATCTATGGTTGTACCTGCATGAATGATCATGTGACATGCGTTTTCGGTTGTGTAGTGTAGACATAGATTGTTTCCGAAACGCAGTGAAAACGGCAGTGTAGACGAGGATCGTTTTCATTTTAAAATGCCGTTTTAAAACCAAAACTCACTAGTGTAAACGGGACCTAAGATGTATTCGATGAAATCTGAGAGCTCTGTGACCCTGATGTCACATGGACTGTTTTACCAACGTCCTTTACAGTTGCGTTGCTGTCTATGCAGGGTCACAGAGCTCTCAGATTTCATCAAAAATATCTTAATTTGTCTTTAGAAGATGAACGGAGGTCTTACAGGTTTGGAACAACATGAGGGTAAGAGAGTAATTAATGACAGAATTTTCATTTTGGGGTGAACTATCCCTTTACTGTACTGTGATTAATTAACTGGGAAAGTGTAATGATAACTGTTGTTGAAAACAAATTGTTAAGTTAAATTTCACTCTATTCACCAGTAGTATGTTGCCTTAAATTGTCTTTAGCCACCGTAATGTCATGATGCGACTGAACCTCCAGCTCACCATGGGAACCTTCTCGCTCTCTTTATTTGGTCTGATGGGTGTGGCTTTTGGAATGAATTTAGAATCTTCTTTTGAAGAGGTTGGTACCATTTTACTACAGTTTACTGTTTTATTACTGTGTACCAGTTTACCCCAGTTGTTATAGCCAGCATTGTGTACAGTGTTATCAGTCTGTTTGAGTACATGTTGTTTATTGACCCACATTGATTTGTGTGTGTGTGTGTGTGTGTGTGTAGGACCCGCGTGTGTTTTGGTTAGTGACAGGGTTCATGTTCCTGGGCAGTGGACTCATCTGGAGAAGACTTCTCTCTTTTCTGGGACGGCATTTAGAACCCAGCTCTGCACCTCCTGTATGTAACACTCATAATACTCCTCCATGTTTACCATTATAGTCAGGGTTGCACATACGTTTTTCAGCCTGATATTTGTCTTGAGGTTTTGGAGATTTGGTTTGGTCCTCACACTCCACATAGTGTAACCCATTAAATACAACTATAAAAAAATAAATGAATCGTAGTGATACTATTGTTACACTTTATTTATTTAGTTTTTTAAAAATAAAATAATAAACTAAATAATAAAGGGCCGGTTTCACAGACAGGGCTTAGACTAAATGATAGGGAATCTACCTATACATATCTATGGTTGTACCTGCATGAATGATCATGTGACATGCGTTTTCGGTTGTGTAGTGTAGACATAGATTGTTTCCGAAACGCAGTGAAAACGGCAGTGTAGACGAGGATCGTTTTCATTTTAAAATGCCGTTTTAAAACCAAAACTCACTAGTGTAAACGGGACCTAAGATGTATTCGATGAAATCTGAGAGCTCTGTGACCCTGCATAGACAGCAACGCAACTGTAAAGGACGTTGGTAAAACAGTCCATGTGACATCAGGGTCACAGAGCTCTCAGATTTCATCAAAAATATCTTAATTTGTCTTTAGAAGATGAACGGAGGTCTTACAGGTTTGGAACAACATGAGGGTAAGAGAGTAATTAATGACAGAATTTTCATTTTGGGGTGAACTATCCCTTTACTGTACTGTGATTAATTAACTGGGAAAGTGTAATGATAACTGTTGTTGAAAACAAATTGTTAAGTTAAATTTCACTCTATTCACCAGTAGTATGTTGCCTTAAATTGTCTTTAGCCACCGTAATGTCATGATGCGACTGAACCTCCAGCTCACCATGGGAACCTTCTCGCTCTCTTTATTTGGTCTGATGGGTGTGGCTTTTGGAATGAATTTAGAATCTTCTTTTGAAGAGGTTGGTACCATTTTACTACAGTTTACTGTTTTATTACTGTGTACCAGTTTACCCCAGTTGTTATAGCCAGCATTGTGTACAGTGTTATCAGTCTGTTTGAGTACATGTTGTTTATTGACCCACATTGATTTGTGTGTGTGTGTGTGTGTGTGTGTAGGACCCGCGTGTGTTTTGGTTAGTGACAGGGTTCATGTTCCTGGGCAGTGGACTCATCTGGAGAAGACTTCTCTCTTTTCTGGGACGGCATTTAGAACCCAGCTCTGCACCTCCTGTATGTAACACTCATAATACTCCTCCATGTTTACCATTATAGTCAGGGTTGCACATACGTTTTTCAGCCTGATATTTGTCTTGAGGTTTTGGAGATTTGGTTTGGTCCTCACACTCCACATAGTGTAACCCATTAAATACAACTATAAAAAAATAAATGAATCGTAGTGATACTATTGTTACACTTTATTTATTTAGTTTTTTAAAAATAAAATAATAAACTAAATAATAAAGGGCCGGTTTCACAGACAGGGCTTAGACTAAGCCAGGATTAGGCCATAGTTCAATTAGGACATTTAAGTAATTTTTATGCCTAGTAACATGCCTTAGAAAAAACATTACTGGTGTGCATCTTGAGACAAAACAATGGCACTGATATATTTTAACATCAGTCAGTGCAAGTTTCTTTCAGTTGAAACGGCTCAGACTTACATTTTAGTACACTTGAGCCTTGTCTGTGAAACCGGGGGAATGTGTGATAATACTATTATATTTTAAAATAAAAAGGGAGTATTAAATACAAATACAACTATTTTATAGTAAACTTAAAAATAAAATGCTAATATTTACTTCTTTTTTTAAAGATGAATTTTCATCATTTACAAACTTAAAATCAGCAGGCTTTTATTTTGGCGGGTTGCCGGCAAGTAAGTATATGCGCTTCCGGGTTTAGCGCTGCCCACTGAAGCACATCAGTGAATGAAGTGTCAGTTTTGCATTGTGCTTTGAAAACGGCAGCAGGTAGCCTAGATTTATTTATTCAGTTTGAATAGAAATCTTATACAGTATTAGTTTGTCGATCTAAAATGGTAATTGTGAATTAACAGCTGTCAACCATGTTTGTATGCAAACGTGCTGTCAGAACTTATTTACACAGGGCATTTTTTTTTATTTTGGTCTCGCATGCGCACCTGCGTACCACTTATGTGCACCCCTGATTATAGTGATGATTGTAACTTTTTTTTGTCTTTTCACAGATTCCCCCTGTTTGGAGGAAAAACCAAATCGCCACCTTAAAAGCAACAGACATTAAACCTGGAGTTAGATGATAGTGTGACTGCTGCTTTTTCAATATTTTTTTCCCTCCTCCGTATCTCTGACTTTTATGCATACTGTATTTTTCAGTATCATGTGCCACTCACCTCAGTCTAATTTAAAATGACATTTATCTATTCAGGTGTATCATGTAGACACAGTTTTTATTTTGCTATGTGATATTTGTCTTGAGGTTTTGGAATAATCTCTGTATTTATTGTTGTGAATATCATTGACATAATGCAATACATCAGATACCTAAATCAGTTTCCCTGGTTACCCTTAAAAACACATGTTTATGAATACATAACTTTGATAAAACATTAAAAACATGAATTTGTTGTGGGCTCTTTATTTTAGGCATCTAGAATAAAACATTTGATGTTTTTGAGTACTAATGCTCTTGTGTATACATTATTCAAACTTTGAGTTCTTATTAAAATACTTTGAACCTCTATTTGCATGAAAAGTGCTCTTTAAATGAAGTGTATCATGCATTATGTAAAGCCTGTTTGTACTTCGCTTATATCAGGACAGAACAGCAGGGGGAGATAAACCCCCACTACAACAGTTCCTTCCACTCATTATTTTTATTCCCCAAAATATTCACACAGATAGGTTGTATATCCCAGAAGACAACATTACGAACATCATCTTACAAATGAAAAATGTTTTAGCAAAAATAAAATATATAGGAACAAATATGAAACGTGTTTTAAAGTAGAAATGACTGACTAATCAACCATATTTTGAGCTAAAATAACATACACTAAAAAAAAATCTGTAAAATTTACATAAAAAATACGGTAGCAACGTTTTAGGTTTTACGGTTTTTACTTAAATTTACAGTTAACTACCTTAATTTCATTAACTGATATTATGTTACTATACCAACCTATTGATACCGTTAACCATTTAACAGGTTTTTACTGTAGCATTTTTACAGTCTTTTACCATTAAATTCACTGTCATTTTTTACAGTGTAGGACTGTTAGTGTTACTACTGTAGGGACATGACTAATATGGGATAACATTCAAACAACACAAAAAGATTTCAGTCTTTGCCATTTTGTTTTTCTGTTGATGGCAGTGGTGGCTGATAGGTTATTATAGCAACAGTTGCTACAAAATAAATAAAACAATAGCAACTATGATAAACTACATGTTATTCAAATTTTAGCTCTGCCTGAATGGGTTTGCAATTGGAATTTTGATTTACATAGTCTATGTAAAATAGTGGTAGATAGTTTATAGTTGGTGAATGTGAAAATTATTTAACTTGTATTAATTTAAATTCTAACCGACATGTATTTTTTATTTTTTTAAATATTTATTATAACAAAAGCAGATAGATAGATAGATAGATACCAGAGGTACATAAGCTTAGATGAAGTCTTCGAATATTGTCTCGGAGTCGGACAAAGGGGTTCCTGGAGTCAAAAACGTTGAGAACCACTTGTCTAAGGTGTTGGACCAACAACAAACTAGTAACCAGCTTGTCATACCTGTTTGAAACTGTTTTTTTTGTTTCCTGGAGCAGAAAAAAACAGCTGCGTCTACTAACTTGGACTGATTTGGCTGAAGTCTGTCTCGAAGCCAAGTAAGCTTCACACACAGACAACATTTTGAACGGAAATTCCGACAAAATTATGTTCATGTTGACAGTTTACTAGGTTTTGAGACAAAACCTCTTACTGGTCCAAGTATTCGTCAACTGTGTCTGTGACGCAAAAATCTAAAATCCTCCCCCGTCTCTCAAATCCTCTCTCTCTCTCTTCATTACAGCTTAGTCTTCATCTGTGAGCTGAACATTATTTTTTCCTGTTTAAATGTTTCTCTCTCTCTCTCTCTCTCTCTCTCTCTCTCTCTCTCATCCTCTGTCCGAGTAAAGCCGCGCTGCCTCACATGGACCCGAGACTTTAACATCGCATCAAGACTCTCTCAACAGTTCCCTTTTGGAAAGACAAAAGAGAAGTTTGATCAGGTGGAGCAACACGCCAAATATCTCTTCAAAAGGATCTTGCGTATGTGTTTTAGGTGAAGCTGTAAAAGAGCGGAGAGAGCGGCTGGTTTCAGGAGCGCAGACGAGTGCCATCCTACGATTTCTTTGCAAAAGACTTCTTAAGAGGAATAATGAGGAACATTTGGATAATCCTGACACTTTCAGCAGCTGTATGCTTGTCCAGCGACAAGGTGAGTTTAAGCATAGTTCTTGTTGTTACTTTTGTTGATTGTGTAGGCTACATTCTTCCTATACGAGGCATATTATAAACATGTTGTGATGATTGTGACATAATGTAGGCTATATTATCCTTATTTAATACATTTAAATCACTCTTAATATGCATCTTTTAGTACAGCAAGTTATAACTTGGTCCTGGCAAGGTCTGTAAAACCTATCATGATCATAACATGATGTGTATGATATTAGAGTGATGATGCTCATCATTTTACAGGGATGTCACAACGTCTGGAAAATGTTTTGAAGAGATTCCTGAGAAAGTTACAGTACACTATACTTTGATAACAATTGCATTTCCATCTCAGAAGATTCACTTGAAGTTTCATGTCACTTTATAAATGTATTGGTATTCCGGAGCTCATATTCATGTGTCCTCCTGAGACAAATTTTAGTCGAAACCTGATCTCCTGAGAGAACCTGAATGTTTCTCAGCCAGTTTTACGCTCTAAAAATTCAGATATGAGTTGACTTCTTTCACTTCTGAAATCGAAAACCACTGTAGTGTCACAAATGAAATTCAGATAAAGACGTGAGTAAAGAGTTTCATAGCTCTGAACCGTTGAAGAGAACTATGGGAGTTTTTGTTTTCGACGAGAATTTCAATTCCTCCTTACCAGAGTTTGTTCTTATCCGCAGGACTCACTATTCTTTGTGCGAACTAGACTGCACAGCAACGCAGTACATCGATTCCTTTCAAAGTGTTGTCAAGTAATTTGCAGGTTGCTTCAGGATGCAGTTCTGTATGTGTTAATTACCTTTAGCTCTCAACTGTGATGAAGCCCATCACAAAGAAGCAATAAAATCAAGCCACCGCAGTGTAATTTTACAGGAAGACATTTGGAAGTTGTTAAAAGTACCTTGTTTATTGATTTGTTGTGTGAGTGAAGCAACGGCCCTCATGTTTTCAGTACATCCTGAAATAAGTTCTCTCTCTTTCATTTTTAAACCTTAGCCCTATGGTTTTACTGTGATTCCAACAAGTTGCACCACATCCACAGTTTTATCAGTGCTACTCATTCATGGTGATGCTCATCCATATTTAAGCAGTATCCAATCTGTTTCTAAAGGTGACATCTAATTTCTGTATTCTGTCTATAGAAGGAAAGCTTGATGCTTTGCTTCAATATGTTGTCACTGAAATGAGAAGTTAAAAGGTCATTTCGTGATTCTTAGAGATAATGAAATTAATATGAAAACGATAGTAAGTGGCTCCTCACTGGCTCTCATTCCTTGTTTCTTTTCATTTCATTCCATTTTGAACGTTTTTCAGGTTTCAATTCCACAACAGTGAGCATTCTCATAAGTCCTCAAAGCCACAAACGGTCTGGTCTGACTTGGACACAGCCAAAATGTAACTGCATAACTGCTCAATTACACCAATTAACATTAAAAATAAATAAAAGTAAAATAATTCAGCTGCCTCTAGGGCAAACAGCAGGTGTTGATAACAGATTATGTGAGTGCCCTTTCTTGTTGTGCTGTTCCACAAAATAATGTCATCGTAACATGATGTAACCAAACATTAACTGTATCCATTGCCAAGACAACATGTTATGACAGATGTATGATGACTGTGTTGACGCCTCATTCATGGACGTAAACAGACTCCCACTCAGAACACCTGTGTGCACTTCTAGTAAAGCGAGTATCTGAACAATATTTGTGTGCTGACAGCATATACAATCCTTGGCAGAGGAAGTCATGAAACAGCGTGTGTGTGCGGTGTGTGTGCATGTGTGCATGTGTGTGTGTGTGTGTGTGGAAACTGTAACAGAATGGAATCTAATGTAAGTTTGATCTGAATTTCTGATCCCCTCAATTAGCTTAGCAAATAAAATATTTTTGAGGGAAAGTTTTTGTGAGGTAGGAGAAGCAGACGCCTGTGAATTTTTAATTGTATCTATCTATCTATCTATCTATCTATCTAGGAAAGTTTTTGTGAGGTAGGAGAAGCAGACGCCTGTGAATTTTTAATTGTATCTATCTATCTATCTATCTATCTATCTATCTATCTATCTATCTATCTATCATCTGTCTGTATGTCTGTCTGTCTCTCCTTCTATCTATCGGTCTCTCTATCTGTCTTTCTATCTGTCTTTCTTTGAATCTATCTGGCTGTCTGTCTCTATATGTCTTTTTATCTGTCTTTCTCTCTGTCTTTCTATCTGTCAATCCGTCTGTCTGTTATTCTGACAGTCTTTCTTTCTCTCTTTCTATCTGTCTGTTTCTCTATCTGTCTTTCTATATTTCTATCTATCTGTCTGTCTCTCTGTCTTTTTATCTGTCTGTCTGTCTCTCTGTCTTTCTATATATCTGTCTGTCTTTCTGTCAGTCTTCTATCTCTCTTTCTATCTGTCTGTTTCTCTATCTGCCTTTCTATCTTTCTATCTATCTGTCTGTCTCTCTGTCTTTTTATCTGTCTGTCTGTCTCTCTGTCAGTCTTCTATCTCTCTTTCTATCTGTCTGTTTCTCTATGTGTCTTTCTATCTTTCTGTCTATCTGGCTGTCTCTCTCTCTTTCCGTCTGTCTGTCTGTCTGTCTAACTCTGTTTATACATTTTTAGTGGTGAATCCTGCAACAGGCAATCATTACAGTGAAAAGAATACAGAAAAAGAGGGACAAGTGAAAAAAACAGAGAGAGATAGAGAGAGGGGAAATTTTGTGCAGAGATGGTGGGCTCAGTGGTGTGGAAGTGTGAATAACACGTAACAGTAAACCCCCACAGTGCAAACTACTAAAGAACCCTTAATAAACTTAAAGAGAGGTCCATTCAGAGTTTACACCAGTATTCTGGCCTCTTTGATTTAAGCTAATTTTAATTATAGTCAATTTACTTCACTTTTAAGTTAATTATATGGTGAATATATGAATATCTGCAATGAGATTACCAGAATAAAAGCTGTAATAATTGCTAATTGCACTTTTTGAAACATTATTCAGTGACAGTATCGTGATACATTAATGCACAAGCCAAAAGAGCATTATAGAAATGTGCCAACCGTCCAAGTGCTGTTTATCCATATTAAAGACCAATTTAGCATCTGAAAAGAGCAGTGTGTCTGAGGCATGTGGTATTCTCATCAGTTGTGGGTGTGCTTTCGGAAACACATCTGTATTTACTGTGTACAGACTTTTTTTGCGAA